CTCGCCGTGGGCGTTTGTTTTGGGTTGTCGCAGTCGTCGCGGCGAGCGCAGAAGCGCGCGAGGAGGAGGAGGAGGGCCCAGGAGGAGGAGGAGGAGGAGGAGGAGGAGGAGGAGGGCCCAGACACCCTCGCGTCATGAAAAGAATCACGACGGGCGGTTTGGGGCAATTGCTGGGCCCTGGGGGCCCTCACAGGGTTCGACTGGAAATCATGAGGTTCCCGAGTTTGTCTGTGTTGACGGTGATGATGTTGATGATGATGTTGATGATGATGATGATGCTGATTGTGATGATAATGATAATGAAGATGTTGATGCTGATGCCGATGGCGATGACGATGATTATGATGCTGATGATGATGGTAATGATGATGCTGATCTTGATGATGCTGATTCTGATGCTGATGATGATGCTGATCATGATGATGATTATGATGATGGTGGTGCTGTTGATGATGATGTTTATGTGTTGCTGATGATGATGAGGAATGTGATGATGCTGCGGATGATGCTGATACTGATGCTGCTGATGATGAGAGGATGATGATGATGTTGGTGGTGGTGATGCTGATAATGATGACGATGATGCTGATGATGATGATGTTGTTGTTGATGATGATGATGAGGATGATGATGATGATGATGGAGGTGATGGAGGAGGTGGTGGTGGTGATGATGTCGCGCGCTCGCCATCTGACCTCCTCTCCCCCCGCCGTTTCCCTCCTCCTCGCTGTCCTCCTCGCTGTCCTCCTCCTTCGCCCGTTCTCTCCTCTTCTCCTCCCTCCTCCCTCTTGCACATCTTCTTTCTCCAACCCCTGGCTCCCCCATTCGTCCTGCGTCGTCCTGTCTACTCCCCCCCTCTCCATACACCTTCACCCCCCGTCCTTGTTTGCAGCGGCCCCTCTTGTTGCACTAGCAAAGGTCACGGTCGAGCGGGCCGGACATCTCGCTTGATACCGCCTCAGACAATTTGTGACAGTGAAGCTTGCCATTCCGAATTGTTGTACGGATAGAGGATGAGTGGCTCGTTGTCGCCTCACGCGTTCGTGGGAAACGTCTGCAATACTTTCACAGATCGACGGGTTTTGTGTTTAAGGTGTGGGCGTCGCCTCAACGATGAGCACGTCCGCTCTACGAGCTTGCAGCAGCCACATGGAGGAATTGTTTGTTCCCCTCACAAGGGGAGCTCTCGCGTCTCCCTCTATCGTGTGGGGCTGACAGTGCGGCATGAATACGCGGACGGAAACAGTTTTTTTCCATATCGTGGTCATGGTTTCAGTTTTATTCGGAAATAATGCTCCGACAGCAGCATTTGCACCCCCATAGAGTAGTTCCTTTTTAGCATGGAATGCTCGCTTGTCATGTTCTTGAGCTCTATTTGCTGCAAGAGTGGGTATCAGTTCCTGTCCAAAACGGCGCGCTCGCCCAAAGGGCAGGTAGGCCCATGAGTCGCCTGTCATTCAAATGGGCGCTACTCGTAGTGAGAACAATCATTCACAGTGACTTACGAGGCGGGACTTGCACAGGAGACTGTATTGCAGCATCGTTGATGTATTGCGAAGGCCTTGCGGCCGGTGCCGCCGACCCTGAGAACGACGAAGATGAGAACGAGGGGGGGGCAGGGGGAGGAGGATGAGTGGGAGGTGGAGGAGGGTGGAGGAGGTGGATGAGGGAGGAGGAGGGGGGAGAAGGATGTGGAGGAGAAGCAAGAGGAGGAGAAGGAGGCCGAGGAGAGCAGGAGGAGGGGGATCCCTTCTTCAGGTTCCTTGAGCTTGGCGGTTTATCAGAGTCATGTGACTTTTCTAGGCGGCGGCCGCTCGGATCTCTGGTTTCTCTGTGGGTGTGCGTGCAGGGAGGAGGAGGAGGAGGAGGAGGAGGAGGAGGAGGAGGAGGAGGAGGAGGAGGAGGAGGATGAGGAGGAGGAGGAGGAGGAGGAGCAGGAGGAGGAGGAGGAGGAGGAGGAGGAGGAGGAGGAGGAGCAAGAGGAGCAAGAGGAGAGGGCCAGAGGCTTTCCTGGGACAGGCTGGGGCTGTCTTGAGGCCGTCTTGGGCCGTTCAGGGCTCCTCTTGCGCCGTCTCGAGGCACTCTTGGAGGCCTCCTGGGCAATTTGGGGCTCTCCTGGGCTGTCTTGGGGCAGTTTGGGGGGCCCCTTGGGAGCCTCTTGGGGCCTCTTGCGGCTTCTTCGGGGCCTCTTGGGGGCCTCTTGGGGCTGAGAGCTCGAAATGTCCGTTCGGGTCCCCCGTCTGGGCACTCTCCTGGAGCGTCTTGGGGGCCTCTTGGGCCGTCTTGGAGGCGTCTTGGGCCGTCTTGGGGCCCTCTTCGGCCGTAAGGGGACCCTCTTGGGGGCCTCTTGGGCCGTCTCGGGGCGATCTTTTTGGGGCCTCTTGGGCCGCCTTGGCGCGTCGGGAAGCGGAAGAGGCAACAACGCCAACATCTTCCAAAAACGTATGGGAAATCCCTGATTTTTGCTTCTTGGGGCTCTCGTGGGAAGGCTCCTGTTCTTGGGCCGTCTGGAGGCCGTCGACGCGTCTTGGACAGATCGTTCGGCGATACGGGGTTCTCTTGGACTGTCTTTGGGGCCTCTTGGGGCACTCTTGGCCCGTCTTGGGGCTCTTTTGGGCGGCTCCGGGACTCCTGGGAGGGGGCGTCTGACCCCCCCCCCCGGGACCCGCCCCACCCCCCCCAGCGGGACTTGCACAGGAGACTGTATTGCAGCATCGTTGATGCATTTTGGGGTGAATGTTGGTTCCCCCTCTTCGTACCCTTCCGCCTCCTCCCCGCCTTCGTCCTCACCTTTCCTGATGTCTTCCTCCTCCCCCTTCTCCTCACTCCTCCCCCTCCTCGCTCATATCCCTCCTTCCCTTCCTTCTGCTCCCACTCATCCTTCCTTTCCGTTTCTCCTCCTGTATCATCTCTTCTTCTTGTTCCGCCTCCTCCTCTTCTTTCCCTCCTCCCTCCTCTTACTGATTGTAATCCTTCTCCTTATCTTGTATTGTTGTATACTGCCTTTTGATATTCATGATTGACTCTTTGCTTCTTACTTCTGCGCGCCGAGCGCATGGCCAACCCGGAGAAAAAAAGATGACAGGCGGCATTCACGCATGGCATGAATAAGGTAGACGGGCGCCTCACGAGAGTAGAGATGGCAGTCCAGCAGCTCACAGGCAAGTTGGAGAGCATCTTGAAGACAATGCGCAGCAATTTCGAAGAGCACCACACGCCCCATAATGAGTTTGATGACGTCCGCATCCTCGCCTTCCCTTCAACACCGACGTGCGCATCGAGCGGATTCAGATTATTAAGTTCTGGGCCTGGTTGCCAGATTTCGATGCGTTCGATAAGAAGCTCCAGCAGCTGATCAACACGCTCCCCAACACGGCCTCATACTCTTCTCCGAGTGTGTCGGAGCAGACCACTTCTGAGGTGAGTATGCGTAGTGTATTAGTCCAGACCGAGCACGAATGTAAGGATAACGACTTTGGAGAAAAAGGTCTCGTGGGAACAATCTTCAACGAAATCCCCGCACCGCACTCATTTCTATACACTTGGGTGGGTCTGTGTGCGGCCGCTTCTGCGCTGGCATGTGCGTGCGTGTGCGCGGCATGTGGCTGGCACGTGCCCGGCACGTGCGAGCCTTATGGGTTTGGTGTCCTATTGTGCATCCGCGCCTGGGTATGTGCAGGGTTATGCTCGCTGTGTTTGGTGCATCATGTGTCTGCGCGCGCCCGCACATGCCAGCGCACATGCTCGCACATGCCTGGACGTGCGGAAGGTGTGCGATTATTGCAGATGTGCCAACGGCGCAAGCACGCGAATGCCTGTGCAATCCTCCTGCGAATGACCGCGCGGTCCCGCACATGCACCCACACGCGTTGAAACGACCGCCCGCACTTGCTCGCACATGCCGACACACATGCCCGCGAATGCCGTTGGACTTGGTGGGGACCCGTAGAGGAGCCTCCAGTACTTCGTGGCCTTCGCAAGAGTTCCCTGGGGCTTGTCAGGGCTTGCCCGATTTTCTTGCGGCCGTGAAGGGATCTGGTGCCATGTGTGTTGAGAGAACTTGCGCGGTTGATCTCGCCCAGTGCTGATGGGAACGATTCTTCGCCCGCGGGTCACGTCTATGTGATTCACCCTTTGTCGTCGTCCAGTAGCCGCGCAGAGCTTTTTGGCGTGCCCCGTTGAAGCATTTTCCCTGCGAGCCTGCTCGACTCGGCCTGGGAGGAGGTGAGGAACATCATCATGCGAAGGGGGAGGGGAGTAGAGGGAAGTGGGGGAGGACGACGTGGAGCAGGCGTTTGCCACTCGCATGTCGGGCGGCACGAAGAGCATCCAGGGGGAGGGGGAAGAGAGAGGGGCCGAGGAAGAGGAGGCCAGTTTCGCTTGGACTCCCATAATTCAGGGCCCCGATGTGTTTTGGCATGAGGTGATTTGACCTGATTTGTTGCGGTTATCGTTTCAATCCTGAGTTCCAAGATGCGATGTTCCAAGTGTTCTGGCCCGTTTTGCGTGAGGCATATTCAGAATTCTGAGTTGACGTGGTCAGGCCCGCGTCGATTGGGACATCTCGTAAGTTCAGGTTTCAAGATGTGGTAATTGAAGTGGTCGGGCCCGTTCCGCGTGGGACATTCGGAAGTCGGGGTTCCGATATAGTTTGGCTCGAGGTAGTCTGCTCCGATTTGTTTGGGACATTTCATTGTTCTGGGCTCGAAGATGCGGTTCTTAATTCATCTAGGTGATCGGGCTCGTTTCGCGTGAGACGCCCTTGGAGCGCGGGGCTTCGAGACAACGGGATTCAAGAAACTCCGCATGGACCTCGCGGTGACGCACAAACTCGCCGGCCATGTTTGCAACATGACCGGTTGCCTGGGTCGGTCACTGGCGAATTCGGCCTGTGCAGATGGTTTGCGTGGCTGTGCGGGGCATGTGGAATGCTGGGGCTGGCCAGGCCAGGGGCGCAGCGCTTGCACTGCACGCGCTCGACGCCAAGAGCGGGACGCTGG